CTCCCAACCTCTTCCTGCCTACATCAGGGACCCCAGAGCTTTCAAAGTCAATCCTGAACGAGCGTTACTGGTCAGTGGGATGTACGCTTCTTGGGCGTCTACTGCGGAGGATACTATTCGTGCTCACCACGTTTCTGAGGAAGCCTCTCGAGGACCCCAGCGTGCCCTAGTTCCAGTCTTCACTGTGCAGGAGGTCAGAGTCTCGGAGCAGCACCGAGCAGTACCACTGCGCGATCAGGTTGCTAGCTGGTGGGCGAGGTGCACTCGCTTCCCACGTCACTGCACAAGCATCGTGCTCGAGGCAACGGACTTGTGCAGCAGCAGAGATTGGAAAGAGAATGTCGACGCCTCGTTGAAGACAGGCCCGATCAGGTTCACGTGTCAGTATCGAACTGCCTGGCTCCCCCCTGGTCAGAATGGCTCGCTTTCTTATCGTCCATTGGAAGCTGCTCGATAGTCCAGCTCGACACTTTCGTTCAGTTTTCGGATAAGGTCGCCAGGTCTAGCCAGCGTAAAGCCCTGCGTCAGTCGCTTCGAGAGTTCCAGGACTGAGCCGTCGAGGGATCCTCTCTGGGCGCGCTCCACAGGGCCACGGGGCGAGATCCAGTACCTAGTTTGGAAATATGCGATGGACCGGTCATTCTTTACCATCCGAAGGATATAGTTGATTTCGAGTCAGACAAGTGGCCTCGCAAGTGGGCTCCGCCCATTTCCGACCCCGACGAGAAGCTCGGGAATGTTCTCGAGATTGTTCGGCAGGCTGTCAGAGATGATCCTGATCCTCTTCCTGAGTTAGGTGCGGAGGATGTTAGGCGGGCCCTGAGATCTATGAAGCCTCGTGCGGGGACGGGGGCGGACCGTCTCACGCCATGTGATATCAAAAGGCTGCCCGACGCTGGGGTAGCCGAGTTATGCGCGCTGTTCGCCGCGATTGAGTATCTGTTGGTCTGGCCCGTGCAGACCATGCTAGTCCTCGGCCGCCTCCCCCAAACAAAAATTGAATGGGGGCCGCGTGATAGGCCTCATGTCGATGGTATCCAGAGTATGGAGTATGTCGCGAGAACCTCGGGTGAAGTCTTGGTCGCGGTCCACGGAGGCTCACTGGGATGCAGCTGTTATCGGTAATTCGTCGTTGGGTGATGCGTTTCGTCGGGTCCTTGACGAAGAAGTTGCGGGAGTCTTGGGAACCACGTACGCACGCGCTCTTGCAGATATCGACGGGTACTGCGATAACATGATATGGCTCAAGCTTGCCCGAGCCGCGCTGCGGCTCGGGTTTCCGCCCGCGCTTCTGGATTTGGAACTATTACAATGTTCGCATCCACGCTCCTTGCAGCAGGTTGGAGCATGTTCGAAGGCTTTTGGGCCAACATGCAGTATCATACAAGGTTTACGGTCTGGGGCACGTTTCGCACGTGCGATGGCGTATTTTATCATGGATCGGATTTGCACTTCGAATGTGCGGTGTAGTCATCGACTCTGGATCGACGACTTGTCGCAGGCCACCAAGGGGTCGGCGGCGCAGGTCAAGCGTGACATGATTGATTGCCTTGCGACCACAGCTCGTTAGCTCAAGGTGCAGGGCCTCAGCGTTGCATCCAAGTCAGTTGTCATGTGCACGAAGCTCAGGTTGGCCAAGGAGATCGCCAGGGCACTCAAACTGAGTGGAGTCACGATGACGGCGGCGAAGCATACCAGTTACCTCGGAGTCGACCTTGGAGCTGGGGTTCGTCACGCTCGGGAGCAGCGGGTCAAGCGCAGCGCCAAGCACCTCGTCAGGCACCGTAAGGTGGTCAACTACGTCAGGACTCCTAGGAGGACTAAGATCACTTCACGGCTGGAAAGACAGGGGGCTCAAGCTGCAGGATCCTACGGCTACGAGGTCTACGGAGTGGTGGGCCAGGAGTTGGTTCGATATCGTCGACGTCTCGGGGCTGCCTGCGGTGCTCGAGTCCGAGGTCGCTGCCTCGCGACGTTGCTCGAGTTGGAGGCCAACTCCCTTGACCCTGCGCAGCGTTTCATCACGGGCACGTTTCGGCAGTGGCTCTCCAACTGGCGTCAACATCCAGAGGGCTCGTCCAGGTATTATTCGGGCGTGGGATAAGGTTCGCCAGAAGTTGGAGGCCTTGCCCCACGCCCACCCAACGGTCCAGGCATATCAGGGGCCCCGTGTCGGCCGTGATGTTTCACTTGCTGGATTCTGGATGGGTTCCACAATCACCGACGCCGTGGTCTCCTCCAGGTGCGACCTCTTGGGCTTTTCCAGATGAGAATTTTACTGGCATTGACGCTATCGGTGATGCGAGTGTTCACGAGTTCTTTGATGAGGTCAGGAGCGCAGCCACGGCGCCCATATGGGCGAAGGCCGCGCGACATTACGACGGAGAAGGATTGGAACGTGGTACCGACAGCTATTCGTATCGGCGCTTGCTTAGGCAAATCCAGAATATTCCTCACATTGGGCGGCGCCTGGCAGCTTTGCTTGTTTCAGTCGCCACAGGGGCCGCATTGCCTAAGGCGCCGAAGCAGGCTGTGCTGTCCAACGGCAATCGCCCCCATTGATGCCAAGTGTGATCGCTGTGGCGAGGACAACGAGACATCATTACATCGATACTGGACATGCCGATGCAATACTGGGCGCGTGGCCTTCGAACGAAGCGATCGGTTGGTGCCTCAGGCCTGCAGTCAAGGGGAAGCGCATCCATGCTACTGGCACCGAAGGCTGCTGCCAGCCGAATGGACGGTCACCCCTGCATCTCAGTATGTCGACGACTGGTGTTGGGATGGTTTAAATGATGGGTTTTCGCGGCGCTGCTACCCGAAGGGGACGTATGACCGTCCAACTTTGGTGTTCGGCGACGCTAGCGGGGGTCCCGACACGAGACCCTCGCATGCGACGCGTGGCGCTTGGTGTGGTTACGATCAGCGACTTCACGAACATGACGCTCGACTGTGCGATCTCTGGTGGTCTGACTGGACCCAGGCAGACTGTCGCACGCGGAGAAGTCGAGGCTCTTTGGTTGTGTCTGCACTGCTGTAATGGAGTTACACACTATGTTACGGACAACGAGAACGTGTACAGGGGTTGGATCAATCGTGTGTTCCTGTGCCCCACGGGTGTCGATGCAGACATATGGGCAGAGATTGGTCGCATCATGGCTGATCTCAGGTACGAGGATATCACAGTTACTGTTGTTCACTCTCATCTAGAGGCAAGCGCGCTGGTCCATGACCCCTGGGATGCATGGAAAATATTGGGCAATGCAGCTGTGGATGAGTTGGTTCGGCTAGCCGCCTTGGAGGTGTGTCTGGACCCATCGGTGAGATCGAGATTGTTATTGCTGGAATGTGATGTATTTCGGATTCGGCATCGACTTCTACGTGCAGCTTTCGAGTGTGCGTGCTGGAGATGGCACGCAAGGTGAGCAAGGTGAGGCCAAAGGCAAGCGTTTCTCCCTCCCGCCCGCTGCTCCTCCTGCTCCTTCTGTCGCTTTAAACTTTTCTACCTCCCACGTCCTGGAGGAGTGTGGCCGTCGTTGTTCCAGGTGCTTTGGAAGCGCCACGTTAGAGACCGCCAGCCTCTGGAAGGCCAGCCCCTGTTTTGTCCCTGAGAATCTGAACGGTTCGTTCTTTTCCCTCGGGGCCAATAAAGTTCACATAGGGGGTGGCTGGGTCCATGAGAGCCATAGCATGATACTGTGCACCAAGTTAGGCCTCTGGTTCTGCGGTACGTGCGGTAGTTACGCTAGCAAGCGAGCTTCCAATTTGCATTGCACAAAAAATGCGATTTGAAAGCCACACCAACGGGAGCTGAATATTTAAGGCGTGTTCGTTTAGGGCTACCTCCCAAAGCCATCAGCAAAGCCGAGAGGGAGGCCCGACAGGGGCCCGCTGGGAAGTCCCCCTCCCTGGTGTAAGGCGGTTTTCCCTTTTCACAACTTGCTCTTGCTCTTGCTCCTCCTCCTCCTCCTCCTCCTCCTCCTCCTCCATCCTCCTCCATCCTGTTTCCGCCCAAGGCGTTCCCACGACCGCGCCACGACGGTCCCACGGGCCACCACAAGGCCCCGAACCATTGCACGAGGCCTCGAATACGGGCCGCCGCGGGCGGTGCTGCGCTTGCCGGAGGCCGCGGGGGGAATCTTCGCGAACGCGCGATAAACTGTCCAAGAGGGCTCCGACACTCCCCGCGTCTCGCTCCCAGACGCCCACGACGGCCCCAAAAAGTGTCTTGACAAATGCCCGCCGTCGGTAAACGTGGGTTCTCGCCCGTTTCCCCATACATACGCGCACGGCGAAGACTGAGAAAACCCGCCGCAGGAAGTCGCTACTGGCGGCGCGGGCGGCGCCGCGATTGCCGGGGGTCCCCAGGGCTCTCCTTGGCGAGCACGGGGCACGCTGTCCAAGAGGGCCCCGACACACGCCCCACATCCCCCTCCAAGACACCCACGGCGGCTCCGAAACGGCCCCAGAAGCCCCGAAAACACTGGACAAGAGCCCCGCACAGCTTCCCAAGAGGGCTTCCAAGGGCCAACTCCGACAGCGTCTCACAGTCTTCGGGCGTCCCGCCATCACTGGGCATTGTTGTTTACGCGACGGCCAGGGGGCATCATGTTACCCCGCGCGTGCAAGCCCACCATCCCTTTCAATAAATACTGCAGTGGGCACGTGGCGGCAAAATCCGCCGACCCTTGGAAGTGTCATCAGCGCGTGAGATGCTTCCTCCTCCACTAACCCCTCCCCCCCGGAGCCCAGTCCGGTTGATTTGGAGGGAGGGTTGTCCGCCTGGATCCCCCGGGCCCGGCCCGAACGCATCACGGGAGGATTGAGGGCCCCACAACGGTCCAACACAGCTACGAGAGGCCCCCAAGACGCGGGCAAAGAGGGCTCCCACACGGCCGCCCGAAGGGCACCAAGAAGCCCCCCAAAGATGCCCAAGAGGCCCTCGGGAGCAACGCGCCACAACCGCCAGTCACACAAGAGGTCGGCGGTGTGGCGCAAGCCCAAGAATCATTGGCACCTTCCACGCCGTGCCCTCCTCAAGAAGAGCCGCCGCCACCTCCTGGGAGCAGGCGGAAGACGAGAGGAAGGGGAAGTTGACGGAGGGGGGAAGAGCAGGAGGGCAAAAGGATGGTCAAAGCAAAAAAGCTGAAGCGGGGATGGTGGCATCCCTGTCTCTGGCTCCCTCCGTCGCTGCCTCTGGGGTGGCTCCTCCTCCTCCTCCTCCTCCTCCTCACTACTGCGCAGTCCTTCTCCCCGTCCTCCTCCACATCTATCACCTCTATCACCAAATGAACATCATCCTGCGCCTCCAACTCCTCCCTCCCCCTCCTCCTCCTCCTTTCATCCCCCTCCTCCTCCTCCTCCTCCTCCTCCTCCAACTCCTCCACCACCTCCACCTCCTCCTCCTCCTCCTCCACCTCCAACTCCTCCTCTTCCCCCTCCGCCCTCCTCGGTCCTCCCTCCCTCCTCCACCTCCTCCTCCTCCTCCTCCTCCTCCTCCTCCCTCCCTCCTCCTCCCCTCTCCACCTCCACCTCCACCTCCACCTCCACCTCCTCCCTCCCCCTCCTCCTCCTCCTCCTCCTCCTCCTCCTCCTCCTCCTCCTCCTCCTCCTCCTCCTCCCTCATCCCTCCCTCCATCCTTTCTCCCTCCCTCCCTTTCTCCTCCCTCCTCCTCCTCCTCCTCCTCCTCCTCCTCCTCCTCCTCCTCCTCCTCCGCCTCGGTCTTCTGCGGTCGTTCCTCCCCTCTTGCACCCGCTCCTGGTTCAAGGGCGACATGGCTCCGCGGTCGCCGAGCGGCGTCGGCCGGCGGCGCGTCCTACAATGCGGCGGGTGCGAGATGGCGCGGCTCCTCGAAGCCCTAAATGGCTCCGCCCTGGAGCGAGTTCCTCC